CCAACTTAATGCTTTCTTCCACCTTGTGAGAAGTCTCGTGTCGCTGCAAGAGGACTTTTGTTAAACGAAGGTAAAGCAAAAAATCGAAGCAAAGGAGACGGAGAATAACGTGTTTACGATTTCCTAGCGCAAGCTCAGGGTTTGGGAGCAAACTAACCAGGTTGTCACCCCTTTTTGCACACACTCGGTGTGAATGGCATGTGCCTGCACCCGAAATCCGCTCTGTTTAATAAAATTTACCACTTGCTTCCACGCAACATCACAAAGAACACAAAGGCTGCGGAATTCTACAAACACTAAATTACAACTTTGCCAATTACGGGGTCGGTTTTTTTTCCTATTTCCTTTTCGAACTAAAGTTCCTTAAGCTGGTTTCGTAATAAGGGGCGCTCATTGCGTGCCCATCCAGCACAGGAATGAGGGTCATCTAGAGTTGAAGTTGGAGGGAAATCAGATGGAGCACAACATCATAGACCGCCTCCAATTCCAACGCTCCGATTGGCCTCCTTCTTTTGGCTGCACCGATTTTGGCTGCGGTGTACAAAGGCTTTGGCGGCAAATTGCATTATATAATCTGCATGTTTGAAAAAGTAATAGCAATGGAATTGCTATTTCCACTGCCGTTCTAAGTCCTGCGTTTTTCACATGTGTTTACCGTTCCTACGCACATAATTATTGTGCATTGCCCCTTAGTTAGAAAGCACAACAACAAACGACCCTCCGCTGTGGCGATGCTTTCACTGAGGCCACGTGAACCAGACAACTTTCCAGTTGAGGTTGCATATTCAGAAAATGGTCGTCTTAAAAGTCAACAGCAACAGTCCTACCGCCTTCAAGGCCTCGCGGTGTGAAGCATCAAGTCGGCGTTGTCACTGATGCACAACTCCCGTTTGCCAACTAGCTGACTGAAACCGACTGCTCACCGACCACAAGCGTAGGCCATGTCGGTGATGTGGGTGTAGTTCACACATTTTATGCTGCAACAGGACAGAATAGTCAGTTCACTTTTTAATATGGTTTCCCTTTTCCGCCTGAATGTACGTGGATCTGCTTTGCAAAAATAGTGTTAATTGCGCAGTGTGGTAGGTGGTAGGAGACACATGCAAAGCTAGCATTACCATCACAACTTTTCTGACCACAAGTGGAATTCAACGTCATCATTGGCGATGTTGATCATCACTAGATTGTTTTGTCCTAGCCTTAACTTTGCTACTTTACTACAAATTTGTCGGTTACGCGGAAGTGATAACGATGACGCCTAAAAAATTGCAGTAAATCAAGCTCGTTGAATGGAGAGGATAGTGGGATTTGAATATGCGTAAGTATGGAGACATTAACCTCGCCTCCTCAAAATTAAAGAATGTTTAAGCGGAAATTTAAGGGGATCACTCCACCTCCCACTACTCCCAAAACCTCGCAGTCTTTTCCTGCTCATATACATACCCACTTATCCCACACATCATTCTCTTTCGCATACATTCTACTTCATGCTCTGCAGCTTACCCTACCATCCATCCCTTTCCTTTACCACTGCACTCCTCCTAGTATTCTCCACTTCCGACTTCTCTTCATCTCCACAAACCTCACAACCACATCTAACACATTTATTAATTGCTACTGAATAAATTTTAGTAAGAACATGATTCTTGTTGCGAGAATTGCACTTCTTCGCCACATTGCATTCAGTGCCCCACAGACTTGCCTTCACCAAGCGCCAAAGTGATGCGCGATTGACCCTACCACCACCACTTCTCCCAAAGGCTTCTGATATTGTTGCTGCAAGGAATAGGAAGGTTCATCCACTTCTCTTCATGTGATTCAACCCCAATTATTTGAATACTCCCGTTCGTTGACATTTTAATTATCTACTTGTCTGAGCCAATTCGTGTCGGTGAAATGGAACCTCAGGTGCTCGTAGGCTGTCATTTTTGCCACTACATAGAGGCACGTACTGTGTAGTTGAATAAAGTCACGCGTTGAGCAGAGCGCGGTGAGGCCGATCATTGCAAATTGCACGCTCTATTGACCTTAATCAGTTGAAATGCATGATTGACATGGGCGGACACTTCTACTTGCATCCACGACAGCGACCACGAAGATCCACGAAAGATTTGATCCACGAAGATTTGACAATCTTCAGCCAGTTGGCGCAAAACATCACCAATTCCATCCATGTGCAGCATCTTTCGTGTCCATGTAACCAGTCAAATCCACGCCGCACCGTCCAAAATCCTCACACTGCTTCTGCCAACACATGTTACAAATGCTCAACTTCGCCAAAATTAATGCAAACAGCGTTCTGCTCAACTTATAATATCTCAATGCGGTGAGGCAGTGTAAATCGTGAGAGTAGGAGGTAAATTTTAAGGCGACGCCAAAATCATGACTGCACGACATTACCCACTTGGCCCGGAAACACGAGGACATTGCGGCAGCCGAGTTGCCTTCTCAGTATTCCCTGAAGACAATTTAAAAAAAGAGAATTACACGAGGTGGTGCTGGACTTAAAATGACTGCGTGAGAGCAGCATTCACAAGACTGATATGTCAGTCAGGGGTAAGAGAGCAAGTGTACTCACAAAAGATACGAAAGCGACCACACAGGAAAATCTATGCTTGGCATCCCCTGTGCTCTAACGTTACAGCGAAATTGGACGAACGGCATTGCCACTGCACTGTTACTGCATGGCGACGTCATGCACGTCACCTACTACCACTAATTGGTATTCACGGGAAGCGAACGAGACTGTGTCGATTGAAAATATACTACCACGGCTAAACCTTAACATCTGCATGAAGAGCCTAAAGACAAATACCTGTTACAGACTATGAATCCTGACAATTTGCGGCCGATTGTGCAAAAATGTCTTGAATACAATTAACATTAAAGCGAATCGCAGCATATGGAATGTGAACCCACCTAAGGGGTGAAAGGCGTCACATCGCGCATCCTGCAAAGTAACGACTTTGCAATGGACATTCGCTTTGGTTGGTTGGCCAATCTATTTTCACAGACGATTCAACAATGCGACAATGGCCTAGAACACAATTACTTCTGCTGGTCGTCCATTATGCCATTTGGCAATTATCTTGGGGCGACCGATGACTAGCATCCTTGCCTATGCACGGGCAGTCGTGAAACCTATCACAATATAGCCGAGTTAGTAAGAGTTTGACTGAAAACCTGACAAGGATGAATGCTCGCTAGAATTTCAACCAACTGCTTATCTTCAACAGCAGACAATTACACAATATCAGGGCTAACAGTGGCCACATTAGTGGTCATGTTCGTTGACACTGCTCAAACTCCACCAGCAATCACTTCTTTATTAGCATCACACCGACTATGGCTCGTGAAACTGCATATTTCAGAACGAGAGAATAACGATGTGCAGTGCAAAATCCATATGCTATTAACATAAATGTACCGCAACATTCAATATATAAGCTCCCTTGCTTAGCGCAGAAAATTGATCGCCGGTTCTTTAAATGCAGATGTAGTGGCATGGGGGCAAGGGTGTACGCGTTCGTTTCCATTTCCACCAAATGATGTGCTTCTCATTGCCCAACGATACCATTCCTAATGCGCAGTGCATCTTCTTCAACCACATCACCGAATGCGTCTTAACACATGCAGACGTAGAGTGAGTACAATGAAGGGACGCTGCTCGAGGTGTAGGAGTGAGTGCGTGTTCGTTTCCATTTCGACTCTGCCGAAGTATTTCGCAGAGTGAGGGGCCGCTGCTCAAGTCGAAGGAATGCGTGCGAATGCATCTGAAGGGTATATGTTTACCTGCAGTTGATACATTCTCCTAAATCCACAATCCTGTAAATAAAGAAAGAGCAAAACTTACAGCCATGATCAGCAATTAGTTGCACTATTAAGCATAATTCAGGTAGTACACGGATACGGAAAATTATGCATCATGATCTCGTGTTTAAAGCAACTGTGCACTCATATATTTACAAAATTATGATAAAGCTTACATTATTAGAAGACATGCCCACGGACACAGTTTACGTTAAAGTTAAAATTGTGTCCATGACACAAGCCGCATAAGGACACACTTCGATATGCTAAAAGAAAGCTACTAACTCCGGCGTCCGTTTCTTGTTGTTGTACAAATTTCAAATATTGAGAAATTTTTAATTTCCTTCAATTTTTTACTTTTGTAAGAAAGGTAATATATTACGGTTTAATTTTTAATTTTATGTCTGGCAATCACTTTGTATCCGTATTATTCTTGTACACATGAGCTGGTCTTTGGGCCAGGTTAAGAACATGTTTTCAACGGAATGCATTCTTCTACCCTATGTTTAAACTCGAGGTGCTACAATTTTATCAGAAGATCGCCAACCTGAATTTTCTTTTAGCAACTTTTACTCTGATGCTTACTTTATGTGGCATATACCTGCATATACCTACAGTTACCGAATCCAAAGTCGAAGACTCAGGTAATTAGTGACAAAAGATGGTGGCATCAGAGGGATGAACTGAGATGTGTTTACTAAGGTGTAGAATTGGCTTTCGAATTGGCTCCGTGATCGTGACATTTATTATGGTCAGTCCACAGCATTAATTTTCATAGTTGGACCGCTAACAAGCAACCAGTCAATAGCCACACCAT